CATTCCATCGAGTATTCCAAGTAGTCTCTCACGTCCTCTACCATCTTGTGGACTTTGTGCCTCTCAAATTTACTTGTTGTTACCACTTCACCACCACCGCCACCAGCTCGATTAGATTCATTGGAGCCAATTCCTGGTGTTGACCCGCCAAATGTGTAACTATGACAAGATTTTGATCTCTTCTTTGGTATTGAATCCATGGATGTGGCTGATTTCATTCTGGATACATTTCCACCCTTAACTGATTCCTCTTCACCTTCCCTTTCGCCTTCTCTTTCATTTTCATTGGCTTTTCTCTGTGAATAGGTTAAATCTTTCATCGATGCCATTTTATTTTGATACCTATAAGGTGACTCAAGGGTTACTGATGATGAAATGGTGCAACCATCACCACCAATTGGAGGATTACTTTGATTCCCTTTGCCTGTGTCACCACCGCTATGGTTTCCCATTGAAACACCTTTACTTCGATCACCTGATTGTAACATTTGTTCAAGTACTAAACGAGACATGGCAGGCCTTTTAACCTTTAAACCACCAATTCCGTCTGGTTCAGTTTCTTCGGGAATCGTTGTTTTAGTTATACTGGTCGTGATCTCAGTTTCACCTTGTGATTTTGCTTGTGGCTGTTGCCTTAGTTGTTGATTTTGATATTGTTGTTGATGTGATTGATTGTTTACATACTCTTTCGAGTCTTTCGGCATAATCGTTGCTTGAGCAGATTGTGCTAAGACTCTTGACGTTTCGTCTCTTCTTGACTCTTTCAATGTTCTTTGGCCAGTCATTTTAGAGTCCATTCCAGGGTTTTGTAGCGCAACTCTAGAGATCGGTCGTGAATCAGCATTAGGTGCCACTGATTCACGAGACTCAACGTTACTCCGTAACCCAAATTCATCAACACTTGAACCATCAACCTTTAAACCAGAATCAACTGAAGGCTGAGGTGAACTAATCAACATTTGACTTTTAGCAGCAACAGAATCTGAATTGGATAAACCAATTTGCCGCAAATTACGCAGATTCATGTCATCACGAAAGGTTGGCAGATGTGTTTCCGTATAACTTGGTTGAAAATAACCCAAACCAATAGACCGAGAATCACGAGGATCGGGTGATGTTGTGTACGAAGGTGGAGCTGGAGGATAATGCATCATCCTGTCAGATCTTTGTGAATTTACAATTGAATTAGGTTCGTTGATAAATTGGTAGTTGACAAAGAATGATGATTTATTTTCTCGGTGTTCTTCATCAATCCAACAGA